CCCTCCTATATTTTTTATTGTCTCCTTTTGAATGGTGTGCAAATGTGTTTTATCTTGCTATGTCTGATTTGTCTGAATGCCAAGCTTCCAGAAATTCCCTAGTAGGTTTTTCATTGTCTGAATCTTAAGAAGCTGTTTCCCAGATGAAACTGTGGTTGAGTCTGCATTGAGTTTAATGGTATGCAAAGCAGTAACAAATGCTAGGCTCTTTTCAAACGCTAGCAAGGTAGCCACCTTGAATTTTCTTTGTGATAAAAATTGAGTTCCTTGCAAAGAAATCCTTTTGTTCTTGACACAAAAACGGGCTTCTATTGCTTGAGTGGGGTATTGGACTAGACCAGGGATCGCCAACCTTTTGGACCTCAGGGACCACCAAACTCATAATTTTAGATCCCAGGGACCACTAACTGGTTCTGTGGGTGTGGCCTAATTTGTAGGTGTGGCTTCATGGTCATGTGACTGGCTGGGCATGGCTTGTATGTAAATATTATAAATATTTATATAAATATTGAATTTTTTATAAAAAAGGGCAACTTTTACCCAAAAGCAGGCAAAGCAGGCAGGCAGATTGAGTTGCTCACAGAATCAGATTCATTCAAAAATCTATCTATCTGCCATTGGCTAGCGCAGTCTCTCAAATTTGCTTGCCGTGAGTCTGCACTGAATTTGCTTGCAAGCAAACCTTCAGTACTAAGGAAAGCAAAGCCGAAGATCTAAAAACTAGCTAGAAAGCAAGAAATCCAACCATTTCCTGCTTCCTAGTTAATCTAAATCTCCTGGCACGGCAGAACAGATGATGATCAGAAAAAGGAAAAACAGCAATTTTAGCAGGCAAGTTTGCCGGATAAGGGGTGAGCGGGGAGCGTTCCTGCGGGCCATGTGGGCTGCACAGCCTTGTGTTTCTGCGCAGCCTGGATTAATTGCTTTGGGAGGGTGCTCTGGGGGTGAGATTTCTCTGCGGCCCATCAAAATTTTCTCAAGACCCACTGGTTGGCGACCGCTGGACTAGACGACCTCCAGGGTGCCTTCCAGCTTTGTTCTGATTGATTGAAGAATACAATAGAAACATAAAACTTTTTCCACAAGTGAGACTTTAATGTACCCAGCCCAGTGTTTCCAGCACTTCCTGACCCAGCAAAATCAAAATAAACAAATGTATATAATCATCTTAAGAAAAAAAAAAGCTGGCTTGATACAAAGTAGAAATCTCCAGGATATTTCCAAGAAATTCCAAGACATCATGTAGCCTTTATTTCTGTCCAGGGGTATCAAAATCCATCAGGTACGTTACTACTCTTCCTCTGCCCAGCCAGTGATACCGATAGGCAGTTCTAAGATAATGTGCAATATCCAGAGCATGAAATCTTTGTTATAATTATCAATTTCCCTTATAGTTCCTTTTTGCCAGACTTTTAAAAACTACCATACTTTGAAGTGGGATGCAGATTAGTGTGTTTCCTGAATCATCAGAATTCTTGCTCCCTGCAGCATTATAGAGCGGGGGGGTCTCCAACCTTGGCAACTTTAAGACTTGTGGACTTCAACTCCCAGAGTTCCTCAGCCAGAAAAGCTCTGGGAGTTAAAGTCCACAAGTCTTAAAGTTGCCAAGGTTGGAGATCTCTGTTACAGAGGACCAGATATTAAAACACAAAAACTGTTTAAATAAATATGAACACTTTCAAGATTAATGTAGAAAACTAGTAGTAGAACAGAACTGTGGAATATATTTGTCAACATCCAACCCTAGAATACAAACAAAAGTCCAGGATCATTCTCTTTCCAAAAACTGCTGTTTATTGAATACACAGCATAGTAATGTTGAAGAAAACTAACCCTGAGGTTCCCAAACTTCAGTCCATAGGGGACAAAAATAACTTTTCCAAGCCAAACCCCAACCTCTCACATAGTCACATAGTCCATGTAAACAAGTTCTCATAGTTATGGCAGCCATTTGCTTCAACTTCACACCTGTTGTGATGTCCCTGAACAGACAAAATTCTCCCTCCCTCCCTCCAAGGGATAATTATACTGGGTTGCTGGTTTCCTTGTCATGAATAACTGTAGCTCTCCCCGCTCCTCCTTGGTTCACCAATGGAACCCCAAAATTGCATACATTTTAATTCTTTTATTTATTTAGTTACTCAGCAGAATGAAATGAATTGGAAAAAGCCCATTGCTTTTGTGAAACTCTGTAAGGATTAGCAATTTATGCTTTTAATTCAACCTTTTTCCATATTGACAATTCATTTTATTTTTAGGATAAGAGTCAACAAAAGTCACACAGACACTATTTAAATTAGTTTAATAAAATACGATTCAGATTGATCAAATGTTATTTTAAGAGCAAAATGTATCCTGGAACATTTCTTAATGGCAGAGAGGGGGACAAAAAAGAAAACAGATTATGTAAGCAAGTCAGAATTACACTGTTTTTTAGCAGACAAAAATCACCTTTAGTATTTATGTACATCATGAATAGTAATATTTAATCACAGTTCATTAAGTTCATTTTAATCATCTTTTAGAAACGGATTTGACATGTTTCCCTACCTGAAACTACCCTGGATTATTAATCAAGTCTAAGATACAACAATTTTCCCAAATTGGGTTTCAGAAATGTTGAGCTTCCACTTCATATAATTCCCAGGCTGCTGTAGGACTGTCTGACAGAGAGTCCTCAAGATGTTCAGCAATTCTGCCTCAATCCTGAAGAAGCTCCCATCAGAACTATTCTTAGATATTAATTTTATCTATATACCTCATGGCTCTGGCTGCTGCAACACTAGCCAATGAAATGACCAAAATACAACAAAAGTACTGAAGTCGGTAAACGATAACAAAGGCAGTCTAAACAATGAATACAAAACATGCCACTTTAGATGTGCAAGCAATAAGAACAAGAGAGTTTTTCTTTCCTGTCGGAGTCAAAGAAACATAATAAACATTAATTCATGAGCAGACTGAAAGCAAAAGACCTTAAGACACCCAACAGCACCTCCTTCCTTCCTCAAACCATATGAACCATGTGAACCTATGAACAAGAAACATCAATAGTGTTTTATTAAATCCATGTTATAATACTAAGGATTAAAAAAGGAAACATCGATTTTCTATGCAAAATTATTCTGTTGATGTTATGTAACTTTCTAAATTGATATAAAGTTATTGTTAGTTTATAACAATAAAATGATATTGGCTTGATACCTGACTTTTAGTATCTATTAATAATTTATTTATAATTTGTAATTAAATTATTTAGTAATTTAATAATAAATAATAAATGATCTTGCAGAAAAAGAACTTTTTTTCCATAACAACATTTTGTGTTGTGTCTGAACTTCCCTATCATGATCAGGCTTACTGTATAGTTTTTACAAACTAGAAAATAATCGCGCTGAACAACTTAAGATGTTCTTGACAGGGTGATTATACTAATCTGCTTCATGGAGCAATACAGTAAATCTGTTGTCTGTGGAAGAAAATATGCTAACTATGTGATGGCAGACATAAATAAAGAAGGTGATGTAATGCCAATTGGTCAATGATCTTAATAATTATTGTGTAGCCTAAGACATTCTGGACCTCAACAAAGGACAGTACAAAATTAAAATTTATAAGGAAACCAAGTGATTATCACTTTGAATATTGTTTTTTCCATTCATATCAAGTGTTCAAAGATATTTGCTCACTGAGCAATAATGGAACAATAAATCTTTGATTTGTTATCATGAAGAATGTTTTCCAATTTGCTTCTGGCAGTGCACAATAGCCCAGATTTAATAATTAGCTCTTAATTAATGCAGTTCCTAAACAGGATGAGCTATAGGTATTAGATGAGCAGGGGTCACAATTGTTGCAAGTCAAACAGCCCATTAAGCCCATGCAAACACTACTTCTGTTACTGTAATATATCTAGCTTAATGAAAATTATTCAGCCCTCACAAAGGATTAACTTCCCCAGCAAATGCCCATGTTTTACAACAAATAAACTATTTTATAAAAACAAAATAGTGTCTATCAGGCAAACTTGCAGCCAATCTTTTATAGTGTAATACAGACAGAAGAGTAAAAAGTACCTGTAATGATAAAAGCTGTGAAGAAATTTTTAAATGCACCAGAGACAAATTCCTTGTGTGTATAATCACTCTTGGCCAAACAAAGTATCAATTAAAATGCAGTTTCCTAAATTCAAGCTTAATTATCAGCCATGCAAACTATTATTTGCACTGCAGAAGGCTTCAAGATAAAGGAAATGTATTTAGGGCAAGATGTGAATAATAGTTGCAACACAAACATACATTATTGGTATTTTTCCTATCTACCAAAAGTAGCACAGGTATTTAATATGGCCAAAATAAATTGATATTTCTCATAAATCACACATACATTTGGTGTGTTATCCAACTAGATTACAAGATTCTTTTTCTGTCAAACTCAACATACTAATAATCTTAAAACAATGGCAACCATGGTGAGGACTTATGAGAAGCATCAGAAAACTGATAAACAAGTCCAGTTCCAGATCTACATGACTAAGACAAATTTCATACTAAAGGATCTGCTATTGTAGCAGTGTAAAACTTGAACACCAAGGTTGATTTCCAAGTGAACTATAACCAGTGGTATCTGCTAGGGATAAGCATAAAAAAATAAAAAAGGCAATCCGTGGAATTGAAAACCAGCACAACCCCATTGTGTATGCAACATCAGTGTACATTCAACAGGGGCACAACTTCAATCTTGACTATCATCTAGACCTTATTTCCCTGAGAATGTGCTGATTGTTAACCCTTACAGCTACAAAAATCAATGTTATTATTGCAGTGAATTGTTAATTTTAATTATCCAATTCTCTTCTGCATATTTTCCACAATTTGTTAAGAAAATATACTAAAAATAATTAACTATTTCCACAGGAAATTTTCTGTAATGCATCTATGTGCAAAAAAATAAAAATACCTAACCTTAATGCTCTTTTAGTTAATTTGTATTTTTATAAGAGCTTTAAAGGTAATCTATCGCCTGAAATATTTATGCAGTATCATCTTAAATGTTTATGTTCAACCATGCTCATTGTAGTGAAAAAAGCTGTAAAATAAAAGCTATGCATTTCATAGAAACAGTCTATTTCGTTAATATCTATTACTTCCCTTTCTTAGAGTGAAAGAAACGTAGAACACAAATAAAATGTCCAACACAGAGATAAAGTGTAGTTATTCTGAGGCATGGATAGACAAGCACAGTGTACATCTGGAATGCAGTTATACTGCATAATTGTACACCAAATGAGAATTACCTTTTAAACTTAATGTTACAAACAGATGTGGATTCTAAGCCAAGCAGCAGTCAGATAAAAATCCATGAATATCATTTTTAAAAATCCCTAGCTATCCACTATAGCAGAGTTCAATGTAGGCTCTTTAAAGTCTTCCAAAACATCAGCTATTATTAACATTTCCAGAAAACTACTAAATAGTGTTATTCTATATGTTGATCTCTGTTACAGAAGAGTGAGGTCTTGTGTTGATACAATTTCTTATTTTGTTTGTCCATGTCATGACACAATTCTGCTATTTCAACACACTTCTGTGTGCCAGTGCAGATAAGTGGCAAACACAGTTGGCTGGCAGCTGAAAAAAGAGCAAGATATCTCATCAGCAATTATTTTCAAATTAAACAGCAGTGGTCAGGTTAAGACATCCATAATTTCAGCATGAAGTTGACTTGCATGTGCAAACAGGCCCATAAGTACTTAGCATCATTTTCCCTGAAATTTGATGTTCTAATTATCTGCTTATATATTAGATGTTTCTGATAAGGCTCCTGGGGACTGTAGCTAGCAAATCTGAAAGGCACTGTTTGCCTACTACAGTATACAGAAATAAAGTAAAATGCCTTTTTATGTTTGGTTTTCTCTTAACATTATTCTTATATTTGGTAGAAGATAAAAGTAGCATATTTTTCTTTAGATGTCATGTCACCAAGACATTAGACTACTATTTCAATAAAAACACATTTTGCATGCATATTAATCTTTAGTGGATGGTCAAATTTTCACTATGATTACGAGTGCAGAAAAAGTTCAAAAAATATATTTGAAGAAAATAGTGACAAAATATTACTAAACTGTTGCCAAGAAAACAACCTAGATGGGCCAAAGTTAGTCACTGGGATTAAGTTAATTCCAGGCCTGAGATCAGGGTGTCTGGAGCCCCTATCAAGTCTTTCATGTTGGGGAGTGTTTTAGTTCAGACAGTCCTCTGATTTTTAAATGTTTGGCCATCCAGAATCTTCATGGAGTTGGTGGCCTTATCAAAACTCATAGGTAGGCAGGTAGGTAGGCAGGTAGATAAGACAAATAGATTAGATAGATAAGATGGCAAGATAGACAGATAAGATAGAATCTCTCTCTACTCAATCCTGATTTTCAAAATACAGTTGAAGTAGCTCTACCATTTTGGCCAACTGGATTATTTTCCCCAAGGAACTTCATGAAAGTTGGAAGGTTTTTTTTTTTTATGATAGGGTGATATGTTGACTATTTTGCATGCAAGTTATAAACAATAAAAAATGGTCTTCAGATAGTGCTAATTTGGCAAGAAAAGTCCTTTCTGGAGCAGCACTTATTGCAACATTTTTAAAATAAATTATTTTGGTTATCAGTACCTGAGCACCTAATCTGCAGAGATACCTATTCCTCAAACTAAAGTCACTCTTGGGTTGTAATTTGGCTAAATCATCTTCATTCTGACGTCTGATTTTTTCCCGTCTTTTTGCTCTGCAAAAACAAAGGGAATGTTATCAATAAACACATAGAAAGATGAGTGTGTTAGATCTTCAGTGAATGTTATTCTTACATCAATGTATGGATGTACTGTTAGCTAAAGGAAGGGGAGAGCAAGTCAAACATGTTAACAGACAGTAAAGTCAAATACCCTCTTGTCCAATATTTATTATTAAAGGTCAAATTGTAAGTGCAAAGTGCAAGTTTCAACATGGTCAACAACATTTAATCTCTGCGTGTAATCAAAAAAAAATCACCAGGAAACAGATATAATGCAAAATAATAATAATAATAAAAACAGCAACTTTTAGAGAAGTAGTAGCTGCCCTTTTTTAAAACTAACATGGCTTTTAATCAGTAGGATGATGTTGTTCAATGATATATATTTTTAAAAAATCATAACACTAGGATTTCATTTACATTCTTTTGATCCTGTAAGACATACAATATTACAAAGTCACGGTTTGCAATGAGAATCATTACATTTTGTAACAAACACAATCCTTTCAGAACACAAGCTGCCGTGTACCAAGACATCATTAGCTCGCAGACAAACCACCCTTATACAAAACAGAATGGTAGGTATCACTGTTCACATGCCAATTAACTTCAGTGAGCTGAAGGAGCAGACTTCACTTCAAACGGAGTAAGTCTCTTCAATGATGTGGAGTATACATATATACAAAAATTCTGCTCTGCTTGCAGTCCGGATGCCTCGATAAAGAGAGATGTTTGACACGCTGTATGTTCAGCATATGTAACTGTGTTTTCCTGAGTGAACTACTTTTGAGTGCAACTTGAGGTCTATCACCTGAACATGTATATGTACTAGAATACTCTTCAACGGGATTGTTGTTGATCAAGTGCTGCCCAGTTCTGGAAGGAATTTCCTATTCAGATTTCTTTTCTGCAAAACATATTGTAGCAAACATGTTATTGTAACTATGCGCTTATAAGTCCCTCAAAAATGCCACGGTGCAGGACTGAATATTTATGTATTAAGAACTAGCAGACAGAGAGGTTGCTCTTCTGAATAGAGGGTTCAGTTCTCAATTTTCTCCAGTCGCAACTGCTGGAAATCGGTTAACAGTTGCCTGCTACATTGAAATGGAACCACCCAAAATTATTCTACACATCTCCAAAATAAGCTTAACATGACTTTAAAGAACAACTTCGCAAACCATATATGTGATACAGTTTTGCCCATTTTTGATCAGTTTCTCATTATGGCTCTAATCCTTCCCCTTACAAAAGAAAAAGAAATAAAAAAGATGTTAAGCATTTGCTCCCCCTTGCTTTAGTTAAAGAGAAGAGGACACTTCTGAGGTAAATCCTAGTATCAATACCTTTGGGGTGATGGGTGGGTTTTACTTAAAACTGCCAGAACAACATAGTAATTTCTGCTGACTAAAATAATTCTGCGTCACATACTCTAGACTTATATGGATTTTACTATTATTATTAAGGCTGAGGTTGCCATTGGTCCCTAAAGAGTTGTCTAATGAATGCCCTTTAAGTTCCATATTCCACCTGAGTATTCCTACACTATAGGTAATCTTTTTGTAAATGGGTAAATCTTCATGACTAAGAACTCAATTTTTAAGAGGCTAAAAAGAAAAAAGAAAATGGGAAAATTGTCTTGGCTTGATCTGACATTAAGTGCTTCTAGCGGGTTTTCAAATGCAATTCCCACCTTCTTTGATGATCAGCTGTACTGAAGAATAAGATAGGGAGTTTTAATTGAAACATCTAGAGAACATCAAGTTAGGGAACTGGTTAGAAAACTGTATGTAAGCTAAAAACATTTCAATTGGGAGTCAGGTGGCATAAACAAACAAACAAACAACAAATAATTTTTGGGGAGCAAAGCAAGCAAATCCAATGCTCTCAATTCCACACAAATTCTCATGCATTCAGAAGAAAGATTAAAATGCAAAGATACAAAACTGCAGTTCTATACCTATATGTACCAGACCAGTACTTCCGTTAACCACTGAAGAAATGACTTGGAACAAGACTGAATTTCATTGTCTTGGAGTAAGCCTGAATTTTTGCTGCCTCCAAAATTTAATATATAAAAAAATGGTCTGAATTGACAGCATTTGAATTGTCAATTATATTTATAATCCTTTTTTCCTCTATTTCAGATCCTTAAACTGACTCCAGCAACAAAGGAGAACGATGTCTATTTTATATATGTATAATATTAATATATTACACAAACACACACACACTCCAGAACATAGTTCTACTATTTATTAAAAAAAATAGCTATTTCATGTTGAAATATATTTCTCTCCACTGAAATGGCTGCTATAGGGTTACACAGTACGTAGAGCCAGGACTATGAATAACCAAGTCAGATAATATGTGAAGTCTGTGTCAGGGCTCAGACAAATCCACCCCCATTCATTTCTTTGGTCTTTTACATTGCCAGTCTCTTTATAGATTTCTACCAACAATTAGAGAATAGTTTTAACCCTATTCAATCCTGTTTTCATTCATTATGATGCAGCTTAAATTATCCACTATTTTCTTCTCAAAGTATTTCCAATGAACCTCAGGTTATATCTTCAAAATCTAGGAAAGCATTCTGACTTTAGAAGGATGCACATTTGGAATGAACTTTTTATAGTGTTTAAGCACTTCACCTTTCCTACTGCTGTGTGAAAAAAGCCCAATGTTTAACTAATTAAAGAAGATTTAAAGACCAATTAATATTTAAAGAAGAAAAGATACACAATTTCCTCTAAAAGATAACAACAAACCAGTGCAATGTACTTTCCACAGGGTTGCTTCCCTCAAGTATTAAATGAAAATTGCAATTAGTACAAAACATAACTACTTTCCTCCTGGGATGCAAAAGCTACCTGTATAGGTTTTTATAAAGCCCTACTTAGAATCACTGAAATACCCTCAGGACCACCTGCTATAAATACAAATAACTATACAGCTTAATGTCTATGGAGATTCTTAGTCATACAGGTCATGGTTATCCCAAAGGTGCTTTTTCAAGGGGCAACTGGACTTTGTTTTTCCTTGAACAACTTCCTTCCATGAAGTTCCGAAGAAGTTTCTTTGATGAGAAGCAAAATGTCTTCAAGGAAAAACAAAGAAAGTCCAGCTTCCTCTTGAAAAAGCACCTTTGAGACGACTATACAACTTATGTGTCCTATCCATGTAACAATCAGGGAGAGAAAGATAGAAATTAGTATTTTTTGTGTGTTCCACCCTGTGAAACAGTGCCCCCTTCTGAAAGTTAGCTGGTGTCCTCCTTAATCACCTTCTCAAAAATAGTTCAACCTGTTCCAAAGAGTATTCAATCTACAAGGTTGCAGAGAGGATTGTCAAATTTTTTAATTATATTTTTATGGATATATGAAGACTACCAGGGAGTCTTGTTGATATTATTTATTGTGATTCCAAAGTCAAGAGTCTTCCACAAAGTCGTATAGCTAGGGATAAGCTTTTTTTACTTTTCAAAAACCGCAAAGGAGTACATTTTGAAATGTGTTTGAATATGAGTAGCTTGAGTTGGTAGTTAGGCTGTTGGTTTGAGCTCCAAGCTTAGCAATTTGGTTGCAAACTATAGATTATAATTTTGTTATATAATTTTGTTTTGTTCTATGAAAAAGTGCACCAACCACAATCCCACAGGTAGTGTCAGAGTTCCGACAAGCCCTAATCAAATCATTAACCAAATTTAAAACAAACAAACAGGCACCTGTCTACGCAGCAACAAAATTTTAACCCGTCGGCTGCCAAGAAATCAGATCACATCTCAGTAACAAGATGTAGCCACTCAAACTATCAAACAAGCCAAAACCAGACCATGACTCAAGCACCCAGATAAACAACTCTAATCCTAATCTGCATCACACAGTACTTAACTATATAGTCCAGCAACAACAACCAGCCAATTAAATAGTCCGAAATCAGATCACGACTCAGAAATATGTGAACAAACATTCAGACTAATCTGCATCTCATAAAAAGGTATTTAAAGACCTGTGTTCCAAAAGATGAGCACAACTCAAAATGCACTGACAATGTCTCCTCCAATGATGATGAAACACTTGCAACCAAATTGCCAAGCTCAGAGCTCAAACCAATTGCCAAAATACATTTTCTCGGGCTTACAAATTCATCTCACGATATAGTGAACATTTTGATCCTATTAAATCAAAATAGTACATATTTCAACTTTTGCAATCCAAGCATTTTTCTAATATCACTTATATTGTAGGACCACTACTATGTACTTACTCAGCCATGGCTAGCTTCTGCAATTTTTCTCTCCTCTTTGCAGACCAGTTAAGTTCTCCTTCTATGATAGAAAAGATATACATATAATTTAACAGGACATTATTTTTACAAATCTTTACTGTCTTTAATTCTCAAGAAACAGGTATTATAATACAAGTATATGTTGGCCAGCTTTAGTGGCATAAAAATTTAGGAAACTTTTTTATAAAACGAACAACTCCACGGTGAGGCTCATAGAATAAATTTCAGAAATTATGTTTCGACTCCAAAAGACATCACCAAATTTATGGCACTGCAGTGCATTCCACAAAGGACCACCTTTCAAAACCACTAGAAACTGCAATTGGTTCAATAACTATGATTCCTTGCTATAATGAACATATGCATTGTTCATCTTATTGCATACCCGCCACGTGTTGTAATTAAATTTTGGGATACAATTCAAAGTGTTTTAACGTATCAAGGCCCTTATGGCTTGGCCCCATACAGGATTGCCTTCTATGCTATAGTCAACACCCTCCCCTATGAATACATTATATTTATCAAAAGAAGTCAACACTCAAAGAAACTGTACTTCCTTCGGTCCAAAAGCTGATCAAACAGAAAAAACATTTGTCTATTTCCAATGCAACCTAAGTTAGTACTATTTTGAAGTTTATTAATTGGGCTCAACTGTAGTCTTTCTTTCAAGTAAACACAGCTGTATAATGACCTTTGAAGTGAAACTGATTAAACTTTTAATAAAATTAATAGAATTGCAATTTCAATATATTAGATAAAAACTGTCGTATATTATCTGTAATTTAAAAGAAAATACAGAACTATCAAGATTCAGAATCTTTACATTTTTATATTCAAACCATCAGCAAAGAATAGCTGATGTATTTTATTCTAAAAGAATGTGATATTATTTCAAGATAGAGTTACCACTTTTGCACATTGCTGATTCAAAGATGCAAGTGTCAAAACAAGAGAGCAAAATATTTACCTCTGAATAAATTCACAAAGTATAATGCGACTACAGCAATAAGGGCCACTGCAAGGCAAAAATAAGAAATTACATAAAGGAAAATAATATATCATGAAAATTAGCCTTAATATGCAAAACAAAAATAGCATATGCACAATTTTCACATGAAGAGTACCAAAGTGTAAATATTTGATGTCGCAGCTGGCTTCTACAAGGGAAAGTTTTTTTTTCCCCAGATGTGAGACTGAGGCAATGTGAAACTCTGAAGATGTACTGACAATTTCCATGATGACTAACAGAGACTAGGAGTACAAAATCACATGAAAACTACATCTTTGTCAAAACAAGGACAGAGTTCTGTAACAACATTTTCTCAGAGCATTTCATTCCAGTTTATAAAATGCAATAAAGTTATTTTAAAGAAAAAAGGGAGGGGACTTCCTTTTTATTTGAACAAATGAGAAGGATGAGAAAAACATCCATTAAATCGGAATTTGTCCTGCAAGCAATTTCTAAAACTATTTCACGAACTATTGATGTTCCTCTATATACAGCATCAGTATATGCCTTTCACAGGGCTTTATACTTACAGCACAAACAAGAACTGAAGAAAATTTCTAGGAAGAAATATCCTCGGGAATCCAATATCACCCCAGCAGCAATGGCAATGATCGCAAGACCCAAATTCTGGATTGACTGCATGCTGGAAAACAGAAAGAACATTCCATAACCCCAATTAGTTTCCAACCAGCACAAAAAAGCAAATTTAGAAAGGTACCTCTGTTTTTTCTGTAAAATTTTTGTTGGCTAGTAAGATATAAAATATCTTACTAGCCAACAAAAATTGTATTTGTGTATTAAGATCCAATACATAATTACCACTTAAAAGGAAGGCTGAAGTAGAAAGAAATCACATCTTCACAGAAAATACAGTCTCACCTGCTGTAATGAGAATTGTCCAATCACACTTGGCCAATAAAGAATTCTATTCTATTCTATTCTATTCTATTCTATTCTATTCTATTCTATTCTATTCTATTCTATTCTATTCTATTCTATTCTATTCTATTCTATTCTATTCTAATAACCACCTTGTAGAACATAAAGAAGAGCTGCAACCAAGATAATGGTCAGATAAAAGAAATCTAAGCTTGAGGTAGAAAATATCTCAGGGAGGACCCTCCCTAGTTCTCACAAAGATAAAGGGAGGTGGGTGGACTGAAATGTGCAAGATTCGTGTTGGCCCTTCTATAGAGGTGACTGGTGAACCAAAATTATGAATTCTATTTTTATTATAAGGTTAGCGTAACAAATCTAACAAATCTGCCTGTGTTTCCGCCTCCCTCCCTTTATCTTCATGAAAATTAGGGAAGGTCCTATCTGATACATCTGTTTTCAGTTTTCTTCCAGATCCTAGAAAAAAAGCTTCAAAACTCACACATTAGTCAATTTCCTAAAGTACTAGTCCCATTTTTCAGACTCACAGGAGTGTCAACAAAAATAGGCTGTTTAATCAAAGGAAGAGACATGCTGTGTTCTTATGAGACCTAAACAATCTTCTTCTGAACATGCTGTGTTCTTATGAGACCTAAACAATCTTCTTCTGAAGCATTTTTTGAAGCTTGCATGAACACAACTTTTACAATCCCAGGCAACAATGTATTGGTAGCTGTGAAAGGTCAAGGAGGCCTTTCACAGGGGGATATGTGGGGATATATATTCAGACATCTGCCCTTGACGTCAACACTCATGTCTCTTGTCAGACATTTAATGTTGGAGAAATGAGCACCATTCTTAGCAGTCTACTGGAAAGAAAGAATGGATTTGGAGTAAGATCTGACATGTGTACACATTGGTCAGATGTGTCTGCGTACAATCCATTTATTTTTGGCCTGTTACACTTCAATCTGGTCATGTTGAGAGCAATTCACTTTCAATCAGTAATGAAACACAAAAAAAGCCAAACAGATTTTGAATCAGACCTAGAATATCTTAATCAAAGAGAATGTCCAGTACTCAGAGCTGTATCCAAGCACGGAAGCACCCTTACTTTGGAACATTTGCATAAAAAAAGGCAAACAGTTTGGTTAACCAAATAGTAATCTGCTAAGCATCTAGAATAGTCAAATACTGAGTTACTAATAAAATAGCAGGGGACTATAGAACAGTTATGATCAGTAGTTTGAAAATGATATGCAACAAGATCCAAAGATCTGTTACTTACAATCCGTAAGCAGTTCCCAGCTGGTGTTCTGGTACAACAAAAGCAACCATTGGCCATAAGGCACAGGCAAGCAAGGAATAAGCAACTCCAAGCAAACACTGTAAGGTGACAATAAAGCATTTATACAAGTCATTAAGAATGAGCTAACCAAAGTTCCTGAGGGACAAAATTGTATGGGGTTAATAAATGTCATTCTTCTATTCTATTACTAAGTTGTAAAGCTGCTTTATTCGTTTATTTTGCAGTTAACTAGCAACTACGTGCAGCTGGCGACCTAAATAATGCAACAGCCAATAGTATCTCAAATCATTAGATACATCATTATCATTAACAACTATTATCTATATTGGCAGTATCACATGTATAGGAGAACTGAAGCCCTCCAGATCTTAGGGACCAGAACTCTCATTATCACATCCTGATGATGTTGCCTAGGGTTGACAGACAGTTCAGCAACATTTGCAAGACCATGCTTTCCCAATGCTATAGAAAGCTTGGCACCTGGATTGTAAATTTTGGAGGAAGAAGTTTGGAATTTTTGAACAGTATTGTTAAACTGTGCCCTCCCAGGTTTGCTGGAAGCCTATTCATCCAGCTAGCATAGCCTTATAGCACTTAAGACTTATATACTGCTTCATAGTGCTTTACAGCCCTCTCTAAACAATTTAGAGTCATCCTACTGCCCCCCAAAATCTGGGTTCTCATTTTACCGAGATTGGAAGGATGAATGGCTGAGTCAACTTTAAAACTCCAGGCAGTGGGCCTGTAATCCTGCATTCTAACCACTGCACCACCACAGTTCTTATGTTTGGAGTCCAAAGGCATAGGGATGCATTTAAGGGCAAAGTACTGGACATATTTTGGCTTTATTTTGGAAAAATAAGCCTGAATGAAATACCTACCATTGCTATCCAAGGATTCCAGAAAGTAAAGGCCAACATAAGGTGAGAAGTTAGAGTTCCCACCACTGCACATATAACCCATGTGATGTTTCTTCCAACTTTATCTACCAGAATTCCAAAGATAGGGGACATTGGGGCTGATATAACATACACAATGCTGAAATGGAAAACAGAAGTGTCATGTCAAAGCAATGAGATCAATTTTCCCATTACAGAATAATTCTTCTTTCCTTCACCATCCTTTTTCCCACTGAGAAACCTTTGAACTATTCATGACTTGATATATTAAGATATGCAATTTACTATCAGTAAACTCACAAAACTCTAAGATTTTTAAGTCTAAAACTAATTTAGAACATACAGCACAATAATAAGGAAATTTTGCACTTCCTTTCATGATCTTATTTCAAGGATGACATTAAAGTGTCTTTGGAGGCACAAGCTTGAAGTAGACTGCTCTCAGGGAAGTAATCGTTAATGCAACAACGAAACAACTTAAAATTAATATCACTGACCTGTTAATCAAACTTGCTGCTTGAGAAGAAAATTTGAATTTCTCAATGAAGAAAACTCTGTAAAAAAATCAATGATACTTTTGTAGTTCTGTATCCGCTTAGGCTGTAATTAAACTGCATATCTAGCAACAAATTAACATTACCGTGAACTAGTGACAAATCATAAAAACATTCTTGACTTTAATAAATTATTCTGCATTGTATATAAGCATCCACTGATGTCTTCCAGAGAAAGAAGCACTATGTGTAGCATATATGACTGTTGAGTAGTGAGTGGGAACTCAGGGAATCATAGTCCCACCCTATCACTCTAGATAGAATGTATAATAAATATAAGCAACACTGTGGAAAAAGCAGTCACATTACAGATAGTCCTTGTCTAGTAAGCACAATTGGGCCTGGAAACTCAGTCGTTAAGTGAAGCAGTTCCTCAGTGAAAGGTGCTGGAATTTCAGATATGATTATAAGTCCCCTTTCTCCGGAAGGTCATAACTTAAATCAGTCATAAGTAGAGGACTACTTGAACTGCTATCCACATTAGGTAAGAGCATTATCTTTCTACATCTCTACTATCAACTGTTACATTCAATGTAAAAAGGACAAAAAGCAGGCATATCTATATAGAAAATATTTGGATAAGTAAAATCAAATCAGATCCAGGTGTTTGACTTCAATTCACATAATGTTCTAAAATCATAAGCAAAGTCATAATTTAGGTTCAAAGTCAAAAGCATTTCCTTTTTGTCTCCTACATTGTTTTGAATTTTTCTGATGTTTAATTAAAAGAAAACACATTTTAAAAAGCAAAAACCACATTTAAGTACACACACAAACATATTTAAAAGTCTAATAGAAATATAATAAAGTATAACAGCCAAATAAATCTGATTTCTTGATAATATGCACTTACTTTCCAAGTCCAATGAAAGGGAAGACAGCCACATAATAACAAACACAGATTAAAAATATGAGCCATAATGACAATGAGAAGTCTTTCACATCAGTTATTTTTATCACTTCACCTTGAGAAAAAAAAAATGCCAGTGTTAGCTATGCAAAACTGTCTAGTAAGATATGGCTTCAAATAAATGTTTTAACTCTCCATTTGTTAAACTAACAGAACTGAGTTGCACCATTAATGGTGCTAGTTTCACCATTAAGAATATGATATATCCCTTGACAGGTATGTAAAAAGTCAAATTCAAAGAATTATGAGCACACTAGATAATTATGACAGTTGCAGGATAAGAAAGATTCATGAACATATATTTCATTGGAGAAAACAGGCCACAGATTCTTCATGTTATCAGCAAAAAGCTCCACAGCAAGGGAAGAAAAATTGCTTACTTTCCCAACTAGAGTGAAGTCTGGTACTTAAACAACACTTTATGGCCAAGATGAGCAAAGTCAACCATTAGTTCAAAAACTTGACTCCTATTCTCAGTTTACGCATACTTAGAGGAGGGAGGGCAATGAAGGAGACCAACATACCAGTTTTCCCTTGTTCTTTGCAAAGAATTTTCTCTGCTCTTTTGTCCAGGTAAGCAAGAATAAAAGCACAAACTAGTGAAAAGATACATGTGGTACCACCTGCAGTTAATAGAACAGAAAGCAAACTAAGATTTATGTCATAAATGAACATAAAATTGGTTTACAATTCTACACATTATAATATAAAGTGCATAAAGTACAGTATATAGATAGTATAAAGGAATGTGGGAAGTAGAAAGTATCTACAAATAGCTTTATCAAACCAATTGCTAAAAACATTAGCATTGTGTCACCACAATATTTCAAATGAGGCATTGAAAATGAAGAACCAGGTACAAAATTGCATGGCAAATAATTTTTCACACCAGGAATCACACTTAAGTCTTAAGTGGCTTGTTGGGGGAAAGAGTACAAAAAACAATGGGGCAAAGGAAGTGGTTTGAATCAATATCAAATCAGAATGACATTGCATTTAAATTAAATGTGCAAAGCTTTTAATCTCAATTTTTTAAATAATGTTCTGCTTTTATTATATGAAGTGTTACAATATAGTGGCAATATTTATTTCATTTTATTTATTTTGTCAAGCGATTATAAGATAACAGGTATAAGTACAAACATAGTTATGAATACATGAAATGAATACATATAAGAAAAAAAGCAACAATAGGACAGGAACAGAAGGCACGTTGGTGCGCTTATGCACACCCCCTACAGACCTCTTAGGAAAGGGGTGAGGTCAATAGTAGACAGCCTAAGGTTAAAGTTTTTGTGGTTTGGGGAAGAAACCAGAGTCAGGTAGAGCAGGTAGAGCAGCGGTCTGGTGGGCCGTGATAAAATTTTGGTGGGCTGCAGAGAAATCTCACCCCCAGAGCACTCCCCCAAAGTAATTAATTAGGGTCCAGTTAATGTGAGGTAGATTGAAATTACCAAGAAAGATAAAAGCATGTGGGCATGATGTTGCCATGTTAGTAGTGAATTTAGCTTGTTTTCATGTTCAATGTCATAATCAGGCGCTCTGTAACATAATAAGAATCGAAATGTGATATTTAAGGACAGTTCACAGACGATCTCTCAGGAAGAGCAAGCTCCTGGGTAACTTGGATGTTTTTTAGGTGTAGGAACTTTTTATAGAAGATAGCAACACCACCTCCTCTACGGATTTCACGATCTGATCGGTAAATATGATCGTCTATTACTGTGGTAATGGAGTCAGGGAGAGATGCGTTGAGCCATGTTTCACAGACAAATATGATGTTGAATTTAGCCTTATTTAGTAAGAGGAGAAATTCAGGTATTTTATTTACAAGGCTTCTTGCATTGAGTAGTTTGCATTTAAGGCCAGTTGTAGTTGGAATTGAGGTAGTTAGGGGTGGGCAGGCCTAGTTTTGATGGTGGGTTGGTTATCTGGAGGGGATGTCGGAGCTAAAGTGAAGGCTTTTGAAGCCTTCAGGCAAATGCTAAGACTTCAAAATAGAAATCACTAATTGATGAAAGTGGTATCTCCTGCAATGCATGCTGCTTGGGGAATTCTGAGAGTTGAAGTCTATACACCTTTAAAAACAGCCAAGGTTAAGAAATAGTGCAATCTGATAAAATACAAGCTTGATAAAACTGAAAATTGATAGTTTAACAACAGATTTTTAATTCCTGAAATAAAAAATAATTATTTTTCTAAACGATAAAAATATTTACTAACCTATCAAGAGTGCTATGCCCAGAGTTGTGTGGCCTGTAGAACTAAACAGATCTTGAACTTTCCAGTACACCCATCCCATCATATTCATATTCACAGTGCTCCCCTATGAAGAGATAATAATTAAGCTATATTGATTTATTTTCCTTCACTGTATCAAAAAGCAGCAAGCCCACAATTTGTAAATAGCCTTTAATTTGAATCTTCTATATAGTAATCAGAAAGGTTTCTGTATCTTTTTTTTCCTTCCAATCAACAGGTAATGTTCTATATTCTACGTTTTTCACTTTAAGCTCTACAAAGCACATATCTAATTATGCCCCACACTTATTCCAGTAACTTAAGGCTGTGTACATATTTTTTTTTTTTACAATAACATTGTGGAATAATTTGGGCTGAAAAAGTATAGCTGGTCAATATTATCAAAGCTATGAATAGACTTGAACCTGGCACTCCATTACTAGTCCAACATTTTAACTATCGTTCTAGTTCTGGTTCCCATCTTTATTCATTATTCTCTTATCTAAATTCCAAATGTACTGTAGCTGTCTTAGTACAGTGTGTACTGCACACATTTTTAGGGAATCTTTGAAAAAACACTTATTAGAACATAGTCCTCAAGTGGAACAGGTACAATTACACCCATTTTGATCAGATGCTTGGAATACTCAGCCATAATATATATTCCGCTAGGCCATCAACATGTAACCTGCTCCCCCTCCCACAGTAATTTGGATTATCACCCATAAATCTCAGTCACCATCAGCTATCTCCGCTAGCAATCAGGGCACAATGCACCACTGTTTATGTTCTTCGTATACAATTTGGAATTACTTTAAGTGCACACAATGATTGTACACACATACCTGGTATAAAAAAATCGTTGCAAAAACCAGACTCTAACTTTTCAGTTACCATTTGATGTCTCCAAATGTCAGCACATTCCCTCCATGTAAGGGCAATGGGGACTTTACGTCAAATGAATGTTGGAAGTGTAAAAATTAAAGGAGGGACTTTTTATTATCTAAGGTGGACATGTGATAAAGCAAAAAAAAATAGACTATGATTCATATTTTAATACAAAAATGAAAGGACACTTTGATTTCTAACATGGATGAATGGTTGCAGAAAGTGATGGAATTGGCTGAAATGGCAAAATTGACTACTTTGATTAAAGAAAAGAATATGTACTTTTGTTTCCACATGGAGACCGCTTCTGAACTTTGTGCTTGAAGTAGAAAAGAATGAAACTTTGATTTTGGTCTTTTCCTGTTAGACTGATAGATCTTTATAGAAATGGCTTGTTCATATTATTATGAAAAAACAAAAAGCTGTGATTTGATGTTAATGCCTTATTTTACTGCAATAGATAGAGTCGGAAGTCTATGTTTCTTTTTCTTTTTTTTCTTATCTTCCTCACTTCTCTTCCCCCTCTTCCTTCCCACCGTTTTCTATTTACTTTTGTAGTTTGTATCTTTTTATCTTATAACCCAATAAAAAACAGATGTAAGGGGAAAGGAGAAAAGATGACAGTGCAAAATCAGTTTTACTGCTGATCCTCAGCTTAACTGATTTCATTTAGAAGTCTTAATGAAACAATATTCTCAACTAATCAAATGCCTTTTTAAAAACGCCTGAATTATTACTTGATAGATTCATCTCATATACAGACATGGAAACAATTATATTAAATAATAATTTAATGTAGCAATTAAAAAATTAAAAACAAAACTGGGTGTTTAGACTTACAATTCTAGCCATGCTGAGTTGCAGTCCAAAAACAAGATTTAATTCTTTTCCTTTAAACCAACTTACAGCATAGGTATTCTGTGCCACTGCTAAGGACTCACCACCAATCCTAAATGAAAGACATTCATGAGTATGAATAGTTGAAGCTACACGCATGAAGAAACCCACACTGTAACTATACCATTTGCAATCCATGCTGATTTGTAAAAAACTTTAAAATAAAACTGAAATAATGTAAAGCTTTTTGCAAACTATTTCTGATTTTTAAATACATAAACCTTCATTGGATTCTCTATTTTTAAATGAAATACAGCAAATATTTAGACACGATATCCAAACTTACCCAAATACAAATCTGCCAAATTCCATCAGCCAAAAAGCATTACATATTGCACCCATAGCAAAAATTACCTGTAAGAGGAAGATGAATCTCTTTTCAGTTAATTACAGAAATTATGTCACAGGCATGTATTTCAACTCTGTATTTGCATAAAACTGATTAATACGATATCACAGCTTTGGAGAAATTATGAATTTATTTTTCTGCATAAAATTGCCATGTGAATTATATTACCAGGCAGTTACACTGATATGGCGAAAGAATGAATTGTTTTGAGCAACACTAGATTGTTAACACTGGAAGGCCATGATTTACAATTGGGGTGGCATGCCTTTTTATGGTATAAGGAAAGCAAAGTACATGGGTATTTTAGGAGACATTATATTCGAGATGCTTTATTGTCAACATGGCAGAAAATAAGGAAACATTATATGAAAATACCAATCTGATTATCAACTAGAGGCATTTGCATATCCAATTGTTGTTAAAATGGAACACAGTTAGATAAAGTGAAATTTTAAATGAAAAGGGTGAACTCAAATCAGAGCAAGAATTAGATGAACAAGAGATAAATATGAATTCGTATTCATGTGCAAATAAATTCTAGATATGATAAAGACAGTAAGACAGAAGGGTTTTATAGAGAATTTACTGAATTAGATAAAATGTTAACAGGTACTGAGGAGAGGATGATTAAAAAATTATATGGTTATTTACTAGGAGTGAAATTAGAAGAATAAATTAAAGAAACAATATAGCCTGGGGGAAAATATGGATATGGGATAGATCTAGAAAAATGGCAGAAACCATCGACTAGAAACTATAAACTAACAATGTCGACAGCTTATAATTTGTATAAGATGTTTTACAGGTGGCATTTACCCCCAACAAGAATAGCAAGGATGTTCAAGGATACATCAGCAAAGTGTTGGAAATGCCATCAGACACCTGGATCATATTACCATATGTGGTGGACATGCATGGAAGCTAAAAGATACTGGATTAAAATACACACATGGCTGGAAAAAATGACGAAACAGCATATAGATCTAAAACCAAAGATATTCTTATTGGGAATTTTACCTGAAGGTTACAACAGAGAATTGACATATGTCATTATTAATGTTTTAACTGCAGCTAGAATTGTATTTGCTCAAAATTGGAAAAATTAGAAAATTCCGATAGAGGAGGGGGTGATTAAGAAAATAATGGAATGTGCAGAAATGAGTAGATTAATATTAGCAATTAGAGAACAAGAAGAAGAGTACTTTTAAGATATGGGATTTATTTTACCAATGGTTAGATAGAAAAGTACAAAAATGAAGCATAATGCAATAGCAATGATGTTATAATTGATTATTCTGGAATGAATTATAATATGAACTATAATTAGTAAGTACTAAGATTTGTTCTAAAGGAAAACGCAGAATTGAAATCAAAGTCTAATGATGATGTAATAATAATATAATATGACATGGAAAGTAATGTAATATGAATGTAAATTCAAACCTAAGAGAAAAAGACTATAGATATTGTGTACCAACTGACACACTGTATAATTGAAAGAAGACTTTATTTGTTGTTTTATGTTTGTTCGTCTGTTTGTTAAAAATAAAAATATTTTTTCAAAAAAAATTGCCATCTGTTTCACTTACTTGTCCCACACAGACGAAACAGCTGAATATTATTGTACCCCACCTGGAAAGGAGTTTGAATAATTTAAAGTCAGCATTGTAATTGGGAACTGCCTCCATACAAAATGACACTAGAAATGAGGTAAAATTCTCCTTTAGAAGTGAATGGACTAGATTGAAGAATCTTTTCTCTCTTCTGGATGTAATTATCTGAAAACTATCATTTATTTACCTTAAAAAAGTACAATCAATAATCATAAAAATAGATCAAATGTCAAATGTATATTCCATTTTCTTCCATTCATACTAGGGGTGGGATTCTACCAGTTCGCAACCTATTCACTAGAACTGGTTGTTAACATTCTAAACAGTTCGGAGAACCGGTTGTTAGAAGAAATTACTGGCCTAATCCTGTAAGGAAGGCAGGAAGGAAACATTCTGGTGTTGCTTACAGAAACTGCCTCTCCATTAACTCTTATTACATTCTTGGCAGGACTAGACTTCCTGTCTCAGGAACTTCTCTGGAGTTTTTTTCTCTCCTTTGCTCCACCCAGTCACATGACCACCAAGCCACACCCACTGAACCAGTGGTTAAAAATTTGAATCCCACCATATTCATACACATTAATTTTTTGGGGGGGGTGGGGAACCCGCCCGGGAAGGAGAGCCACATGAAAATCCAAAAAGGGCAATAGAAGATTTGACTGTTAAGGAGAAAAAAATAGAAAATTAGGCCAGCTGGGAATTAAGTAAGGAAAAAAAAAGATACAAACACCCATTTAATTGACTAGATAAGCCCTCTCTTGGTTTATGTTGAGGATAATTGTAGGATCTAACTGAAATAAGCAACACAGTAAGCTATTTCTTGATATCCTCAAAGAAAAATGTTAATTTAAATTGATAGAATTCAAACAAGAAAACCAAGATTCTGCTGTAACATGAATGTATGTATTTGGATATAATCTTATGTTACAATTCTGAAACTTCGTGGACAACCAAATAATCGCTTACAAGATACAGGTATAATTTTGAATACATGAGATAGATACTTATAGGAAAAATAAAAAACAATAGAACAGGAACGGTAATGATTTGGAAACTTCATGGACAACCAACTAATCGGGGGGGGGGGGGGGGTAAACAGAATGATAGAGCCTTAATAAAAATCCACTTTCAAATAGTGAACAATTCAGCTGTGAGTTCTTGCAAAATTATTAGGAAGAAGAGCTTGCACTTCCAGGCAATTGCGGAATTCAAAATGTACAAAATGCATAAATTCAAGAACAGAATCTTCCAGAAATGCCTGGAAGATTCAAAGTTCCCTTTGCAGTAAGCAGTTCTGATTTTCCAAGTCTCTGGAAGTAACCATCCAAACCAGAAATGGGTTGAGAGCTTCTGGATATGGTGTTTTCAACAAGGCAAGCCACTTTCAGACTTTTCCTAACATGCCCCAATCCATTTACAGTTTGGATTATATATCCCAGATCAGATCACCCGGACCTGAAAAGTTTTGGCATGGTCTGGAGGGAAAAAGAAAGATCCAACATTTCTCAACTGCTTCCTTTTTAAAACCACGAGTTTTGCAGATAGAGTACTCCACTTTAAGCATCATATTAATTTTAATGAATGGATTTTTTGAACTCTAGCAGATAAGGCAACTAAGGAAATGCTAACATTTGTCAACTAACCATACGGAAAAGAAACATGAACTACAGCTCATATTCGTGCCGCCATTTAAAAAAAACATATAAAATGGATCTAGCAGTTATCTTCAAGAAAAAATGGTCATAATTACCTTATTCCAAAGATTCTGTCTATCAAAAAGCCTCCAAAAAAACATAGAAACACATTAGGCCAGGAATACCAGGCATACAATGCCATGAATTCAGCTGTGTTTATTTTCATATCCTAAATAGAAGAGAACACAATATTTAAGCACTGCTTTAATTTTAAAACTTTCTTACAGAATAATCCATCCAACACAATATGGCATTGCAATATCAGGTCATTCCTCTAAAAATTTCTATCTTGCTGCAGGGAAAGATTAACACTGGTATCAGAAATAAAATACGCAAATATTGTTGCATAAATAAAAAATATATAGCTTAAAAAAGATAGTAATCAGGTAGGAACTAAGGTGTTCTATACATGGATTCTTCAGGCTCTGCAAAGAAATGATAATTCTATTCCAGGTCCTTGTACAAAACAATCCATATTTTTTGTCAACCTTGCATACTTTGGCTTTGTATTATCTCCCTGCTTCAGAGGATGATGCATTTATCATCAAAACAACTACAATAAATAGCCTTGCAGCTGACTTTTAATTTCCTCATTTCTTTTCTTCACATTAAAGATGCTAATGGCTAGTAATCCGGGTCATTTATGGCAGGGGTCGCCAATCTTTCAGACCTCAGTGATCACCAAACTCATAATTTTAAATACTGAGGACCAGAGGCCCTGGGAAAATCCCCCCCAAAAAGGTCTGTAGGAAAATTCCCCACCCCCTTTTCCCACCGATTGATCATTCTTTATTTGGGATCACAGGATACCAGCTCCAGCTCCGTTCTCAGGGTGAGAGAGAGAGAGAGACTCTTGGCTTCATGCAAAGAAAGCAGCAGTCTTTCTTTCTCTCCCCCAAACTCCGCCAGAAATGAGTCTTTGTGAGACTTGTCGCACCGGCGCAGCCTCTTGAAGCAGGATGACTTGCAGGGTCCCAAAGACTCATTTCTGGCAGAGTTTGGAGGAGAGAAAGAAAGACTTTTGCTGCTTTCCTTGTGTGCCCGCCAAAAGCAGAAGAAAGAAGCGGAAAGCAGTCCAGTGTCCAGGCAACGTGCATAGAACAAATGGGGCAAGTTCCCCCCTCCACCCTTTCCCCCTCCCCTCACTAAGTGTTGTTCGCAATACAAGCGACACAAGCCTTGTGAGATTTCCACGCAGCTTGGATTAGTTAGTTAGTTTACTTTATTGTCATTGAACCTCATACAACGAAATCAAACACCATCTTCAGTGCACATCATGACCATGAAAATAAACACACACATCCTTCACATTCCACATTAATTGCTTGGGGGGTGCTTTGGGGTGACATTCCTCTGCAGAGCACCAAAATTTTCTCATGGACCACCAGTGGTCCCCGGCCCACTGGTTGGCAACCACTGCTTTATGGCATATGCTATAATTAATTTTGAACAGACAAGGTACTCCTCTTATGCTTTAAGATGAAATAAATAGAAAATGCCTGCATTTTTGGTTTTTTTTCTCCTGAAGGAAAGGTATGTATTCTTAGACCATTGTGATTACTGATAATTGATGCTTAACTGCTTTCAGCAACAATCTCTAGTATAATCTATCTGTCATTTAGGGACAATTAATATCCTGATTCTTCAGAAGAACAATTATATTTCATTATATTTTAAATAAGTTTTCATTATCTGGTGCTTATTTGAAATCATTTCTGGTTGTTAAAACATAAACAAGTTATGAAAATTCCTTGCTATAATGGAAAAAAACAACGCATCCCAAGATTTAAGCAGAAAAAGTAGTGAAATTCAACATATTTTGCTCTTCACTCACCCTCTGAACTTGAGCCTGCAGAGCTGCTGGGTTGTCATAGCAAAAATAGCTGCCTACGGAAGAAAAGAGCAGACAACTTGTGTAAAAAAAACATTCTGAAAATGCTTGTGTCAACAACCTATGCGGGTTATTTGGAATCCACAAAAAAAATTAAAATATCCCCTACTAAATGAGAAAATTCATTTATTTATTAAATGTATATCACTCCACCCTCTTCATTTGTCCAGGATGAAAAAAAAGAGAATCAAAGCTAAAGGAGACCTGGTTAATTTCCAAGTGATGCCAATACCTCCAAACCCAGCATCAACAGCAAATAGCAACTTTCCAATCATGGCAATTGATAAAAAATAACCATGAATGCCCTCTCCTCCTAGCCAAAACTCATCAATGACTAAAGTTTGCTTTCTCCCATTATGCTCCTTTCGTTTTCTGTCTTCATTGATCCCTTCCAGGAAGAAGGAAAACAGCCACGCAGGCAAAGCACAGCTCAGCCCATTTGAGTCGCCCCACGTCTAGCGCTGCCCTGAAATAATTTAAGAGCAAAAAGGGAGCGGCAAAATCAATACTGTCTGGCTTGCATCCGTGACACACTTTCTTTACACCCTCGCACAAGGACTTAAGGAGAAACTTTATTCCGCACAGCCCCTATTCAACCAGGAAGACAAGGATCACCGACCGAAGCCCAGGAAGCACATGAGCGCCAGCACCAACAGCCGGTGGGCCAGCCGCTGCGGGTCGCACAACGCCGGCAAGGGCTTGCGCGCAGGGTCACCATGGTCTTTGGGCAGCGATTCCTCATCCAGCAACGCCCGTTCCTCTTCCTCCATCGCCGCCATCTTAGACAACCCCCACCCCCGCCGCCGCCGCCAACAAAACACTAGGGATCACGTGATCCCCCTTCACATGACGTGACCACGCCTCACGTGAGTCTCGGCACGGTAAGCAGAAAGGGAAGGCCCGGCGATGGGCGTGGCTTAAAATTTCAAGCGATGTGGCCCGAGGCTATGATCGCAAAGGCGGAGGAGGGGGGATTTCTTGTAGATCAGGGACCTCCGAACTTGACTTCTGTAAGACTTGTGGACTTCAACGCCCAGAATGCCTCAGCCACCATGAATTCTGGGAGTTGAAGTCCGCAAATCTTATACAGGTGCCAAGTTTGGAGACCTTTGTTGTACTTCTAATCTGTATCTAAAATTCCTGTTTGGACGGTCAACATTGGGCTCCCTCGACTTGTGATGCGTTGCTTATTTAAAATGCAAGAGCAAAATTAAAATTTTTTACAGAAAAATGGGGAAAAAATGCTGTCTTTGCAAATATTTATGGTTTTTACTTATTGGTGGAAGTTCCTATCTGCCTCCTGTTTTAATGTCTTTCCTAAGTCAAGGGTATTCTATAAACTTTTATTATAGTTAGGCAAATTTGTTTGTTTATTTATTCATTCATTTGTTTATCTATCTATCTATCTATCTATCTATCTATCTATCTATCTATCTAT